TAGTCAAGGCGGCAGGTAGAAGCAAAGTCAACAAGCCCAGTGACAAAGGCAGACACATCAGGAGATGAAAGCGTAGGGTCAGTCACAAGCGTGGCTAGAAAACGAGTGACATTCGGACTGGCAGCACGAACAAGGTCAGACTCGGGGTCAGCAACGTCAAGAAGAGGGGATGGCAGACTCGGGACCCCTCGCTGCCGCGTCTTCGCAGCATGCACTCCCGTCTCCTTGTCTCTGGCCTTCCCAGGTCCCTGCCCTCCCTCCCGCGCTCGCCTGCACCGCTGTGCCTTCCCTCCGTCGAGGGGCAGCAGCGCGCCGCTCCTCACTCCTCCGAGTTTCCTCCGACCACTGCTCCTCTGCAGACTCTCCACATGGACGTGTGGGGCCCGGCCCCCGTCGGTGGAACGGACCAGGAGCGCTACTTCCTGCTGGTTGTTGACGATTACACACGCTACACCACTGTCTTCCCCTTGCGGCGCAAGGCGGACGTCAGCGGTGTTTTGATCCAATGGATCCGTGCTACTCGTCGCCAGCTGCACGAGCGGTTTCGTCGGGACTTGCCAGTCCTGCGTCTGCACTCTGACAGGGGCGGTGAGTTCTCTTCTGGCCTCCTTGAGGAGTTCTTGTCGAGACGAGGGCATCCGCCAGACGTTCACGCTTCCGGCCTCTCCTCAGCAGAATGGGATTGCTGAGCATCGCATTGGCTTGATCATGGAGGTTGCTCGTACCTCCATGATCCATGCGGCTGCTCCCCATTTTCTGTGGCCGTTTGCGGTCCGATACGCTACGCATCAGCTCAACCTCTGGCCCTGTGTCTCTGAGCCAGAGACCTCCGGTGGACGGGGAAGGTTGGCGATGCGTCGGTGTTTCGGGTCTCAGAAGCGCTCTCCCTTGTTCGCGATGCCAAAGCGAGCAAGCTCTCCTCTCGCACTCTCCGCTGCGTCTTCCTTGGCTTCCCCGCCGACGCCCCGCCATGGGAGTTCTGCCACCCGCGCTCGCGTCGAGTCTTCTCCTCCCAGGACGTCACCTTTGACGAGTCTGTCTGTTTCTACAGGCTACACCCGCACGCGTCCCACCCGGTCCCCCTAGCGCCTCTCTTCCTGGTACCAGTCCCCCCCCGGTAGACCCACTCCCTCCACAGGTTCCTGCTCCCTCAGGTGTGTCTCAGGTAGACCCACCCCCCTTAGTTGAGCCTTTGGATATCTCTTATGACTCCTCTGGCCCAGCTGAGGGGGGTGACCCCGCCGCTGACGACACGGCGGCCACTCGCCGCTCTCCACGCTTGGAGACCCCCCCTGGTTTTCCGCATCGGCCGTCTTCGCCGCCTCCGCAGCCTGCTGCTGTGGATCCTAGAGCTGCGACTGCTGGTGCTGAGCCTGGGGGTGCTGAGACAGAGGGTGAGGGTCCTGGGGGTGCTGCGACTGGGGGTGCTGGTTCTGGGGGTGCTGCGACTAGGGGTGCTGGTTCTGGGGGTGCTGCGACTGGGGGTGCTGACGCTGGGGGTGCTGCGAGTCCTAGTGGCGGTGGAGCTGTGGGTGACCCTACTGGAGGTCCTGGAGCTGGACAGCCACCGCAGCCTGATCTACTTGAGACGCTCTCACCGCAGCAGATTCGTGCGTGTATCGTTCGGCGAGGTAGTCCTGGTGGTGGAGGGTTCGGTCCTGCTGGTGCTGGAGCTGCTAGTCCTGTAGGTACTGCTGGAGGTGCTGCTGGTGCTGGAGGTACTGCTGGAGGTGCTGGAGGTGCTGGAGCTTCTAGTGCTGGAGGTGCTGCTGGTGCTGGAGGTACTGGAGGTACTGCTGGAGGTGCTGGAGCTGCTAGTGCTGGAGGTGCTGCTAGTGCTGAAGGTGCTGGAGCTGCTAGTACTGGAGGTGCTGCTAGTGCTGGAGCTGCTGGAGCTGCTAGTGCTGGAGGTGCTGCTGGTGCTGGAGGTGCTGCTGGTGCTGGAGGTACTGGAGGTACTGCTGGAGGTGCTGGAGCTGCTAGTGCTGGAGGTGCTGCTAGTGCTGGAGGTGCTGGAGCTGCTCGTGCTGGAGGTGCTGCTGGTGCTTGAGGTACTGGAGTTGCTGCTGGTGCTGGAGGTGCTGGACCTGCTGGTGCGCTTCGCCACCTTCTCGGTCTTCCGCCAGCTCCTACTGAGTTCCCTGTCGCTGGTACTACTCCGCATTTACTGTTCCCACCAGCAGACCTGTCTCAGCCACAGATCCTCCCTCACTCCCCACTGCCTACTCCTGCTCCTTACACTGCTGTGACAGAGTCCATGACTGAGCGTCGAGAGCCTGAGACTCGTGCTTCCACTCCTGAGCGTCGAGAGCCTGAGACTAGAGATTCCGTTCCTGCTCGTGTTCGTCGTGTGCGTCGTCCTCGTGCTCCGGCTGTCCCAGGCACTCACGATATGACACTCCGTCCTTCCTCTGTTCCACAGCGTGTTGTCCTACCGTCACCTCCTGCGTCTTCTCTTCCTGACGTTGCTGACCCTCCGTCTGACCTTGCTCGTGCTTCCAGTCCGAATGTCACTCGCTTTCTTGCTACAATTGTGACGGACCCTACGTTCTCGTATCCTGCTGCGTCTGCCTTAGTCGCTGAGCTCGTTGATTTTGCTGCTGTGTACCACCTAGACTACCTTGCAAGTCTTGTTTCTGACCCTGACCATGCCTGTCCTCCGTCCGTCGGGGGTGAGGTTGCCCTTGGCTGTGACGTTCTTGAGGACAGACAGGAGGAGCTGGAGTGCCTTGCGGCCGCTGCACCTCATCTTGCTACCATGCTGCTTGCCCTTGAGGGAGACCCGGATGCACTTGACATCCCCACCCCGCGCTCTTACAAAGAGGCGATCTCGGATGAGTACTCCTCTCAGTGGCAGACAGCCATGGACGCAGAGATGGCTTCCTGGAAGTCCACAGGCACCTACGTCGACGAGGTTCCCCCACCTGGGGCGAACATCGTCAGTGGCATGTGGATTTTCAGGGTGAAGCGGCCGCCGGGTTCCCCGCCTGCCTTCAAGGCACGTTACGTTGCTCGAGGTTTCAGTCAGCGTGAGGGGGTCGACTTCTTTCAGACCTTCTCCCCCACCCCGAAGATGTCCACTATTCGGGTGTTGCTACACGTTGCAGCTCAGCGTGACTACGAGCTGCACTCCCTTGACTTCTCGACAGCTTTCTTGCAGGGTAGCCTTCACGAGGCCATCTGGCTGCGCCGTCCATAGGGCTTCACTGGGTCGTTTCCTTAGGGTACCCAGTGGAGCCTACGGCGACCAGTATACGGCCTGCGTCAGGCGCCCCGCGAGTGGCACGACACACTGAGGACGACACTTGCGGCTCTTCGGTTTGCTCCTTCGACTGCTGACCCATCGCTGTTTCTACGCACCGACACTACCCTGCCGCCGTTCTACGTTCTCGTGTACGTAGACGACTTGGTTTTTGCTACTGTTGACACAGAGGCGCTGGCCCTAGTGAAGGCCGGGCTGCAGGAGAGACACACCTTCACTGACCTGGGTGAGCTGCGGAGCTATCTTGGCTTGCAGATCACCCGGGACAGAGCACGGCGCACCATCACCCTGACTCAGTCACACATGGTGCACCAGGTCCTTCAACGCTTCGGCTTCCAGTGATCCTCGCCACAGCCCACTCCTCTGTCTACCGGTCACTCGCTCTCAGCTCCACCTTCGGACGAGTCCGTAGAGCGGAGTGGCCCGTACCCAGAGCTTGTGGGTTGCCTCATGTACCTGATGACGTGCACACGACCTGGCCTCGCGTACCCTCTCAGCCTCTTGGCTCGCTACGTGGCACCCGGTAGACACCGAAAGGTGCACTTTGATGCTGCGAAGAGGGTACTGCGTTACTTGTGCAGTACATCGGGCATGGGGCTCGTGCTTGGAGGACGGAGTTCGGTGGTACTCACAGGACACTCTGACGCTTCTTGGGCCGACGACCAGGCGACTCAGCGTTCGTCACAGGGTTACACCTTCAGTCTTGGCTCTGGTTCTGTCTCGTGGAGGTCCACTCGTTCTTCTTCTGTGCTTGGTTCCAGCTGTGAGGCCGACATCTACGATGGGGCCATGGCTGCACAGGAGCTTCGCTGGCTGACCTACCTGCTGACCCGACTTGGGGGAGCGGCCTCGTTCTCCTCCAGTTCTGTACGTCGACAACAAGGCAATGCTTGCCTTGTGTCGCGAGCAGAGACTGGAGCACAGAACGAAGCACATTGCTCTTCGCTACTTCCTTGCACGTGAGCTGCAGCAGCGTCGTCAGCTCCGCCTTTCCTACGTGGCCTCGCGGGCCAACACTGTTGATGTGTTCACCAAGGCCCTTGGGTCTGGTGATCATCAGCGTTTCTGCACTGCTCTTGGGCTTGTGCCCACTCTGCCTCACTTGCTGGTTGCTTGACTTGCTGTTGTTGTACACTGATATATATCTTTATACCTGCATGTTTACTCTTGCTAGGTTGTAATCAGTGTAACTGCCTTGTTCTTATAACTCTGCATGTGAACTGGCCTTGTGGCCGCTTGCTTGTGCTAAGACTGTGTGGTGTCCTTGAGATCCACCTTGAGCTTTGCTTTGCTTGTTCTCTTGCTTGACTGATCTTGTGACCATCTGGTTGTCCCCCACTTAGCCTATGGGGGTGTGTCAAAATACAATTCTACTTGCCAGGCTATAGTGGGTTACTCAGTAGGGGGTACAACCCCAATTAGGGTTAGCCTATACAAACCTATACTGCCCTGTTTCTAGTCATTCCTGCACAGTTGATTCTGACACCATCCTTGAGACAGTACAGACATGGAATGTCACCTGGCAGTTTAAGTTCACTGAGTGCACACAAAAAACTACTAGCCTAAACAATACAGCACAGCACACGTGGAAAATTACAGAGAACAGAAAAGGTAACGTTTTTTTTACATCGCAAGTAGGGGAGGCAATAAACGGAGGAACAACCAGTTGGGTGGTTCAAGAATGTCAATGGATTATTCGCAGGCAAGCCTAGCTGACACGACGTGGTGGACATGGCAGCTAGCGGCCTCCCGTGAGCTTGGAGTGCAGCCAGCTCCTCCTCACACCACTCACGTTGGAGCCAAGGCTCATGAAGGAGCTGCCAGCCCTGTACGACCCCTGCGACATCTGCGAGTCGCCCCAGCGCATGCCCGATGACATGCCTGATGGCGGCCCCGGGGCAGACGAGTGAGCGAGTCGCATGGTGTCGTCGCGCTCCACGCACTCCCACTCGTCCTCCCTGTCGGGGCAGTGCTTCTCAATGAGCACCTTGAGGCGGTACGCAATGTCCTTCATGTCGGGGCGCCGTGTGCCCGGCGACTTGATGCAGTCCAGTGCCAGGTCCGCCAAGTCCACGATTGCCTCCTCGCTGCACTCCAGGCGCTCGTCCTTGAGCTGCTCCAACTCGTACGCCTCCACCAGCTTCGCCGCCTGCCACGCACCCGTGCACGCACGCCCCCACCACACCACCACCACACCAACCCGGATACAAATGTCAACTCAACAAATATGTCAACAGTGCAGATGATTTAACTGCTCCCCTAATCCCTCCCCCAGGGCACATACCCATTTGCGGATGTGTGTCTTGTTGTTGATCTGCGGCGACTTGCCAGTGAGCAGCTCCAGGAGCACGATGCCGAAGCTGCATGCACACGTGGCCATGCGGCCGTGCAAAGGGGTCAGGGCCATCAACGGACACACAGGGACAAGTATTCACGCAGGCCAAAAGAGCGGTTCGGGGAGTGGCAAGGGGAGCAGCAAGAGGGGCGGTGGGAAGGGGAGAGAGGGCAGAGCGGGTGGGGAGGGGGCGACCTGAAGACGTCGCTCTTGGCGGTGACCATCTGCGTGCGGTTGTAGTCGGGGTCCACGTAGCCGGGCGTGCCCGCCACTCGCGTGGCGTCCGCATCGCCGCCGTGCGTGAGTCGCTTGAGTAGGCCAAAGTCAGCGACCTTGGCTTGCAAGTCGTGGGTGACAAGGATGTTGGCGGGCTTGATGTCGCGGTGCACGATGGACGTCTCAAACCCATGCAGGTACGCCAGCCCCTCCGCCGTGCCCTGCGCCAGCCGTAGCCGCTGCCGTAGGGACAACGCGCCTGGCGGGCAGGAGGGCAGGAAGAGAGGATGATTGAGAAAGTGGTTGTGTGAGTGAAGCCATGCACACACGGGTGAGCGGCATGGTGCGGTGCGGAAGCAGGCAGGCGACTCACGCTTGGTCTTGTGGATGTGGTACTGCAGGTCTCTGTTGCCCACGAACTCGTACACCAGTATCTGCTCCTGCTTGCCCGTCTCCGCGTTCTGGTCCAGACAGAAGCCCAGCATCCGCACGAGGTTCACGTGGTGCAGGTTCGCCATCGCCCGCACCTGCTCTCACACACCCCGCACCCACCCCACCCTTGCATGAGCACGCCTCCAGGGGATCGATTCTCTATTCCCGAGAAAGGCCATGTGATGTGTGGCAGCTGTTGGTCATGTGAGGAGGACTCAAGGAGAACACTAAGGGGAATGGGCAGCATCAAGTGCAGGCGCAGGGAGGATGGTACGCATATGAGGGGGCAGTAGAGAGGGGGCGGGCAGCAGGGAGGGGAGGAGGCACCTCGGTTTGGAAGTCGTTGGTCATGACGGTGGAGCGCTTGATGGCCCACAGCAGCCCCCGTGGTGACACTCCCTTGTACACGATGCCGAAGCCCCCCTCGCCCAGCACGTTCTCCGCCGCCCAGTTGTTGGTGGCCTTCATTATCTGCTGCAGCGTGAACTGCTCACACACGTCTAACCCCTCCCACTTCTCTGCTCACACACACACGCCACCACAAACCGTCAGAGGCAGCGGCACGGCAGGGGTGTAGGGCACAAGGCAGAGTATGGGAGCAGGGCACGAGGCAGAGCAGGGGAGCAGGGCACGAGGCAGAGCAGGGGCGCAGGGCACGAGGCAGAGCAGGGGCGCAGGGCACGAGGCAGAGCAGGGGCGCAGGGCACGAGGCAGAGCAGGGGCGCAGGGCACGAGGCAGAGCAGGGGCGCAGGGCACGAGGCAGAGCAGGGGCGCAGGGCACGAGGCAGAGCAGGGGCGCAGGGCACGAGGCAGAGCAGGGGCGCAGGGCACGAGGCAGAGCAGGGGCGCAGGGCACGAGGCAGAGCAGGGGCGCAGGGCACGAGGCAGAGCAGGGGCGCAGGGCACGAGGCAGAGCAGGGGCGCAGGGCACGAGGCAGAGCAGGGGCGCAGGGCACGAGGCAGAGCAGGGGCGCAGGGCACGAGGCAGAGCAGGGGCGCAGGGCACGAGGCAGAGCAGGGGCGCAGGGCACGAGGCAGAGCAGGGGCGCAGGGCACGAGGCAGAGCAGGGGCGCAGGGCACGAGGCAGAGCAGGGGCGCAGGGCACGAGGCAGAGCAGGGGCGCAGGGCACGAGGCAGAGCAGGGGCGCAGGGCACGAGGCAGAGCAGGGGCGCAGGGCACGAGGCAGAGCAGGGGCGCAGGTGGCGGGTCTCACTTGGTCCACGCGGCCAGAGCAGCCATGCGAGCACAGCGGTGAGCAGCGTGATGCCCGCAAAGCACCCCACTGCAATGCCCACGATGGCACCCGTCGACAGCGACGACACTGCGCAGGGGGGCACAGGCATGCAGGGGACGAAAGGGAAGATGAGGACTGTGTCAAGGGGTGCTTGCACGGGAGAGAGGCCGCGGCGGTGCGTGCAAGTGCAAGGTGAGCAATGTGCAGCATGGGAGGGGGTGGCGGAGGGCGAGGGCTGACCAACGGTGGTGGTGGAGTTGACGATGCGGCATGTGGAGCCGTTGACCGTGGCCAGCGTGCTGTACCACGCGTCACACACGCACGAGAAGTTGCCGCTGCCACCGGGGCTGGGCGGCACGCACTCGCCATGACCGTCACAGGGGCCGCTCTCCGTGACGCTGCAGAACGCCTGGCACGCGGCGGGGCTGCGCTGGGTGGCGTTGGAGGAGCAGGGCATGCCGGGGTTGAGCGTGAGGCAGTTGTCCGACAGGCTCACGCGTGCGCTCTTGCCAGCACCCGCCACGGAGTAGTCGCGCATGCCGGACACGCTCCCCACGCACTTGCCTGCCGCCTGCGCACTGCTGGTGTCGCCCGGCACCAGGCGGTTGGGCGCGTTGATCTCCATGGGGCACACCTGGCAGCCGTCCGCAAAGAGCACAGCCTCCCCATTGAAGTAGTTGCGCGCCAGGTTCACAAGTGCCTCCCCGTCCGCCACCATGTTGCGGAAGTTGTGGTTGATGCGCCCGTACAGGCTGTTGCCACTCACGTCGCTGCACACTCGCACACTCATGCTCGTCAGTGCCACTCCGTTGCTCCATGCCAGATGTGGTTACTGTGAGAGGGCGTGAGGGAGAAGCAGGGAGGGCGGGGCTCACATCTGGTTGATGCACATGTCGAAGAGGCACAGCGGCAAGGACCCGTGCAGGTGGTTGCTGCTCACCATGCTGCCACACACCGTACACCATGCCATGGGCCGTCAGCAAGCATAAGACATGGCACAAGAAGCACACGGGTTGCGAGGGAGACACGAACCAATGGTGAACATGTGGGGATATGGCGCCGTAGGCACCACCGCACACACTCACATGCGCCACACACACTCACATGCGCCACACACTCACATGCGCCACACACACTCACATGCGCCACACACACTCACATGCGCCACACACACTCACATGTGCCACACACACTCACATGCGCCACACACACTCACATGCGCCACACACACTCACATGCGCCACACACACTCACATGCGCCAGAGAACGGGCAGCGAGCAGATGGAGGGTGGCAGAGTGCCTTGGATGCTGTTGTTGTCCAGCCACCTGTCAGCACACCACGTCACACCATGGGCACACACCGTGAAGGCGATGTGTGAATGCGCATGGCATAGGGCAGGGTAGGGCGGGGCGGGGCGGGGCGGGGCTGGGCAGGGCAGGGGGGAAGCATTTCAGGGAGGAAGAACGTGAGGGAGGAAGCATGTGAGGGAGGAAGCATGTGAGGGGGAAGCATTTGAAAGGGAAGCATGTGAGGGGGAAGCATTTGAAAGGGAAGCATGTGAGGGGGAAGCATTAAAAGAGAGGAGCAGGGGGGCGAGCATGGGGCCTGACAGCTGCTGCAGCTTCTGCAGCCTGCTGATGGCGGACGGAAAGGTGCCGCTCAGCTGGTTGTTGGCAAAGTACCTGCATACGCCGTGCAGACGAGGGGGAGCGGAGAGGCCAAGGGGGAGGACAGCCAGCACAGGTTGGTATGAGGGCGTGAGCATGCTAGGGGGAGCACCGGAGCTTTGGCATGGCAGTGTGGCGAGGGCGGGCACCTTGTGACAAGGCACACGTGTGTATCGGGCCAGCAAGGGGACGGCAGCGAGCTCACAGGATTCGGAGGTTGGTGAGGGTGAGCATGGCGTCTGGGATAGAGCCCGACAGCTGGTTGTCGTTCAGCATGCTGCATGGCGGGGTGGCAGTGCGGGGCAGGCAGCATGTCACAGGGGCAACACAAGTGGCAATGTGATGAGCACAGGACTGCGTTGGTGTCAGGCTGCTGTGCTGTGGACGCGTGCAGCAGTGGCAGCAGAGCACGGGGGCAGCACACATGCATGGGGCTCCAGCGCATGGACATGTGCCGCCATGCTACAGCCGGGGGCATGGAGCAGTGTGGCGTTACATGGCGTCGAGCGAGGTGAGTGTGGAGATGGAGTCGGGGATGGGCCCCGTGAGGTTGTTGTTGCTAGCCACCCTGCACGCACACCACAGCATGGCACGCCACGCACCACATGGGGCACAGGTCAGATGGCTCATGCCTGCCACAAACAGTGTGCAGCAGCTGCATGCAACGCGGAGCGGAGAGGGAGCAGCGAGGAGCAGAGAGAGCAGCGAGGATCAGAGAGAGAGCAGCGAGGATCAGAGAGGGAGCAGCGAGGAGCGTACAGGGCAAGGAGGTTGCCGCGCCAGCGGGAGAAGTCGGGCAGGTTGCCTGTGATGCCGTTGCCCGACACATCGCTGCACGGTGAGCAGGGGCAGAGGCAGGGCACACGAGACAGCAAGGGGCGGGTGAGGGCACCAAAGGCATGTGTGTTGTGCATACAACGGAAGCCACACCGACCATGCAAGCAGGCCAGCACACTCACTGATAGGAGCACGCTCACTGATAGGAGCACGCTCACTGATAGGAGCACGCTCACTGATAGGAGCACGCACAGCAGGGTAAGGGAGGAAGATGCCTTGAGGGAGGGTGGGAGGCCGCCCAAGAGGAAGTTGTTGGCCACTTGCCTGGCATAAGGGGAAGGGGTGGGGGCAGGTGGAGCAGGTGGGCGAGATGAGCAGAGGACATCTCCACTAGTGGAAGTGGCAGAGGCATGCGTGGACGATGGGAGGACGCTTGCCAGCAATGCAGAGCGGTGGTGGGGGAAGTGCAGTGGTGGGGCCACTCACAGTGAATTGAGCGAGGGCAGCTGGTAGAGGGCTGATGGGATGGCCCCATGGAACTGGTTGTCACTCAGAATGCTGCACACGAGGCGAATGGGCATGAACAGGCGACGAGTACGTGTTTCACTCCACTCCATTCATCATCTTGCCCCACTCGTTGTAAGCCACCCTGCATGGCCCCCTACCTGCTCTCCCCACCCGGGATGCCCCCATGCCCCCACTACTTCCCTTAGCCCCATAGAAGTTCCAGCACTGTGGTGTGCTAGAGGGTGCATGTGCGGCGGTAGGAGCACAGCAGCCTGTGACTCACAGCACAGGTCGTCCACAGCACCACTCACATGTCAGACAAGTCCGTGAGCGTGCTCAACTGCTGAGAGATGCGCCCTGAGAAGCTGTTGTTCGACAGAACCCTGCCATCGTCATGCCCCCACATGCCACAGGAAATGCAGTCGGTGCACAAGTCACACGGCGGATGAGAGAGCAAGCTCGACAGCAGTAGTAGCACCAAGAGCGGGTGGAGCAGGGAAAAATAGGGCAAGAACGAATGAGTGTCTCACAATATTTTAAGCCCCGTGTGGGTGAGAAGCAGCTTGGGGAAGGACCCGGTGAAGCGGTTGTTGGAAACGTCTCTGCGACGCACAGAGAGAGAGGGTACAGATGATGAGCACGCTTTGCTTGCGCCCTCACATACTTCCATACAACCCCGCCCATGCCATGCTTACATGCTGCACGTGCAGCAGGCATGGGCGTCACACTCTGCAAGGACCCGAGATGTCATGAGGCTTTGCACCTCAGAGGGAGAAGGGCGGACAGCGTAGCATGAGGGAACACAGCATGGTGTGGAGACTCACATGAAGTAGAGGCTTGTGAAAGCTGTGAAGGACTCTGGGATGGCGCCAGAGAAGTTGTTGGTGCTGAGCATGCTGCAGAGGGCAGAGAACGCAGTGAGGGCAGAGAACGCAGTGAGGGCAGAGAACGCAGTGAGGGCAGAGAACAGTGGGACAGCGAGGGTAAGGCAAATGCAGGTGGCACGGTGAGAGACGAGGAGGCAGTGGTACGAGAGGCGAGGAGGGGCGAGAAGGGGCGAGGAGGGTGGACTGACATGTCAGAGAGCCATGGCATGCGAGCGATGACGCCCAGGCCCGACGACAGACCGTTGTTTGACACATCCCTGTGGGCGTGGCGGGGTGCATGCACGCACGCACGTCAACAGCTGAGACGAGAGCAGAGCAGAGGTCCGGCAGTGGTGCCCTACCTAGTGAACTCGCATGATCTACACCGCAACTTGTTGCATGCACATATCGAGCAGAGAAGCGCGAGGATGAAATGGAGAAATTGCTACTCGGTATGGAGGCCAGTACAGAGGAAAGAGATGGGGTGGGGAAGGGCGTGAGGCAAAACGGTGGTGGGGATGGAGACTCACAACATGTAGAGGGCGGTGAGGCGAGTGAAGGTGTCGGGCAGGCCCCCTGTGAAACGGTTGTGACTCAGCTCCCTGCACGCACAGCAGGGCGCATGCAGTGCACGCACACGGCTTATGGCCGCCCACACACGCCCTCTGCACGCACGGTGCAGCACAGCAGTGGTGGCGATTGAGGGCGATTGAGGGCTGCCATGTGAGTCGTGGTGGGGTGGGGGGGGTGGAAGGCGAGTCATGGGCGGAGAGGGTAAGCTCACAGTTTAGTGAGGGTCTCCAGGGCCAGATGTGGCGGGATGCTGCTGTCAAACGCATTGTAGCTTAGGAGTCTGGCAGGGTGAGGGAGGAGGGAGGGGAGGGATGGAGGAGGCGAGGGAAGGAGGGAGAGGAACGTGGGGAGGGAGATGGGAGAAGCAAGAGCGTTGATGGGATGTTACACAGCTCTACATGGCCTGACAGGAGCGGCGCTGTGCCATGCATGCACACACCCACCTGGCCACCGTTGTCCAAGTAAGGGGTCACCAGACATTACCGAAAGTCCATTTCAGCAGAGCAGTCACCGCTGAACGTTAATCTCTGAATGCTCAACATAAAACGCAAACAAACACAAACGCCAGGGTACATGGTTCTAGAGAAGCATGTTATTCTGTTGTTTGTTTGTTTTCTTGTGTGTTTGTTAACACCTTCAACGGCAGGCTACATGTCGTAAGAGAGGGATTTGCTTCTTTCTAACATGTGCCTGCAGCAGCCCTAACCCCCACTGCATGTTCCCACCATATCAGCTGCACTCCAGCCGCTTACCTGATTTTGCCGCGTTACCTGACCTGTCCGGACAACGTTTGTCGTACCGCCCATCAAGCGCTTAGCGTGCGTTTGAGCGCCGCCAGCGCCTCTAGCACTTCACATGGTTGCTCTCTCTTATGCATGCCTTGCTGCCTGCGCCCTTGATTTGCTCGTCACTCTCTCCTTGCATTCAACTCACCGCCCGCCCGCCACTATGACTAGCGTGTGGGCACTGCAGTCTTCCATCGCACATGGATACGAGGGCCAGCAAGCGGGTAGGCAGGCAGTGTGATGGCGACATGGTTAGGGCGCGGCCATGGATTGTGAAACGGTATACGGTATGTGGGAACCTTATGGTTGGAACAGAGGCCGTTAAAGAGTGTAAAACGGAGAGGTTGAACGAGTGGCGGTGAGCAGTGGCGCAGCGCTGCGGTGCATGGCGGCACGGCACAGATGGATGGAGCAGAGGCGAGTCACCCACAAGGACTGCAGGTTGGTGGTGAAGATTGCAGGTATGGCCCCGGACAGCTGATTCCACGACAGGTCCCTGCCAGCACGCGAGGAGCAGGGCAAGGAGGAGACACACAGTGAAGCGAGGGAACGCATGATGGGAAGGGGTGCAACAGTGTTGGCAGGAGAGAATGCATATGTGGACTTGCATGTTGGTCATTCCCTGGCTTTCACTTGGTGACACGCCCATCCTCTAGCATCCGTGCAGCAGCGACGGCAGTGGACTGTGCGTGCCACGTGGAGCACACGTGGGAGGTTGGCCAGGGTGGTCGCCGTGCTGTGCAGGGACGCAAGCCTCCATGGACCCACCCAAGCCATGCCTTCGCCCCTCTCCCCACCATGCCATCCGAGCCCCAACCTCCCCGCACCTTCCTCCACCCCTGCTGCCCATCGTTTGAGCACGTGGGTTGAGCCCGTGCGTGCTGATGGCACGCACGGCCGTGGGCAGTGGAGCAGGCGTGAAGCAAGGCGTGGCAGCACAGTGGCACGTCAGCCGGATCACTTACAGTGCAGTGAGCGCTGTCAATGTAGAGTACGCTTCGGGTATGGCGCCTTGGAGCTTGTTGACTCTCAAAGAGCTGCAATGAGGAGAAGGCAGATACGCATATGACTGGTGGTAAGACTGGCAGTGGGAATGATGGCAGCCCTTAGAGTCGCAATCAGGTAGCAGCAATAGTTATGACAAGCGTGAAAGCAGTCGGCGCGGCAGTGCGGCAGAGCATGGTTGGTGGCACGGCATGGCAGGGAAGCGCAGCGCCTGACAGTTGTTGCAGGTTGACCAGGTTGGACAGCCCTCCCGGCAGATAGCCCGCCAGGTTGTTGTACTCAATTGATCTGCATGCGCCCACGCACACAGGGTGGGGGCCAAGAAAGAAAGAAGGACACGGGGGCATTGGGATTGGCCGTCACGCAGCACCCTTATCCGCCCGCTGCTCGCGCACAGAGTGACAAGGAATGCCACTCGACAACCGATTGCCCCTGTGATGTGCCCACGCATGCACGCGCAGCTACGCCACTTTGCCGCACCCTGCTTCCGACCACCGCCATTTGCACTTGGTTGCCCGCACTGCATCACCTCCACACACCCTTTTGACGCTCGCTACACGTGCGGTTCAGCTTCGCAGCCGTGCATGCACCGCCATGCACACGCAGCCCTCACACACTACAGGGGCTCTCGCAGCTGAGCCAGCAGCACTCACAGCGCGCATAGCAATAGCAGGAAAGGAATTTGGCACGCACAGCTGAGTGAGGCCCGTGAGCAGCGAGATGGCATCTGAGAGCACCCCGTGGCGGTCTTTCGTGTCTGTGTTCAGGTTCCTGCAGGGAGAGGGAGCAGCGTTGACGCAAGTGAGTGCGGGACGAGGGGGGCAGTGACGCGATGGCAGGGTGGTTGAGCAGGTGGTGGGGTGGGTGGGGCGGCGAGTGGGGCCGGGCCGGGGTGCTCACAGGGCGCGGAGGTTGGTGAGCTGAACCACCCAGTCGGGGAAGTCTGAGGCGCGCAGGTATGACAGGTCGCTGCAGGGGGGTGCCATGGGGCGGTACAGAGACAACACACGGGCGGAGGAATGGGGCCAAGCAAAGCGACCCTGCCGCATGCATGCAGTGCGTGCGTGGTGTTGGTGGCACGGAAGGACGTGGCATGTGGTGTGGCGTGCAATAACGTGCGTGGTGAGCTTACAGTGCGGTGAGGGCAGTCAAGTATCGCAGGTCCCTGGGGATCTGCCCTGTGGCGTTGGTGAGACTGGAGAGCTGCCTGCACACACACACAGCAGCGCACGGCACGGGTTACCATGCGCATCATCGCTGCACGCCAGGCCACGAGTGCATGCGATGCAAGCAGGGGTAAGAGGGGCAGCGAGTGTGCACGGGGTGCAGTACTGAGCTCACAGGTTGCGGAGGGAACGGAGGTTGGAGAGGGTGACGAGGGAGGAGAGGTCTCCTCGGAACTCCGACAGCGCTACCAGACCCCTGATGTGGGGGGATGGGCAGGAACGAGGGCGGACGGGTGTAGCGGGGGGAGAGAGGCAAGGCAGTGGTGGGGCGAGGCACATGGTGGGTGCGGCAACAGCACATGTCACACCACCAAGTCCGAGAAACGCACCAACCCACAACCTTCCAGCAATTCCAGCGACTTCATCGGCACTGGCAGCAGAGGCACGCACGCATGCGGTGGTAAGCCACGCTACAGCGCCATGCCACCGTGCTGTGCGCCCCGTGCGGTGTGTGCTGGGCCCCACCGGGAGACAAGTCGTGACAGCCGCAGCAGCATGGCATGGGCAGCCCTATTGTAAAAGGAGAAACAGTTACAATGCTTGGGTGTGCGTTTGCAGGGCGTACAGTGCGTGCAGGGCGTTTTGAGACGTCTCAAAACACTACTTTTATCACGTTGCAGGGCGTACAGTGTGTGCAGGTTGGAGAGCGTGGTGAGCCACGAGAGGTCGTCGAGAGTGCCAGTGAGTTCGCAGCCATCAGCTCCCAGGGCGCTGCGCGCAGGGGACACAGGGCGGCAGGTGAGAGGCACGTTAATACAAAGGACCGTTTGGGGGAGCCACGGTGCGGCGGGCATGGCATGAGAAGAAAAGGTGGTGTTGCATACGAAACACGGCGGGGTAGTGGAGGGCAGAACGGGTGCATGCAGCATGGGCATAGGACAAGGGGGCGTTGAGCGATGGGGAGGGCACGCACAGATAGGTGAGGCTGGTGAGCGTGGCGAGTGATGGCAAGGTTCCCTTCAGGGTAATGCCCCATGTCAAATCGCTGCACGCACGGGAAGCAGCGCACGGAGACAGGGCGAGCGGTGGTGGGCACATGACGGACGTCAGGCACGTGCTTGATGTGCACGTGGACGCTTCGGTTGACGGCACGCAAAAGGGAGGAGACGAGACGAAAACGGGTGAAGAAATTCATAATCCAGGACTTGGAGTTGCGGGTATGTGGAGGCGCACAGGAATTGCAGGTTGGAGAGGCGAGTGATGGAGGCTGGCACGACGCCACCTGGTTCCGAGTCGCTCACTGCTCCAAAATCTCTGCTCACAATCGCGCACATGCAGCATACGACACATAAAACAAAATGGATATCCGTGTGTGTTGAGGAGCGTGTGCGCAACCAGTAAGACACCACAACCACGAGTTGCACCAGAGTAACCGCGTGACGCATTACATCAGCCACTATAATTCTCACTGAAACCACGAGTGCGGTCGGTGCGAAAAGGCCTGTCGACAAGCTTCGCAATTCCGGACAACACCGACACCGCAATTTCGCATAGGCACCGATTTCTGAAAAGGTCAACCGGATCCCAGGAACCTCTCCCCTTCCCCCCTTCCCCCTTCCCTTACCGCTGCGCCTCTGTACCGTTTTGGCCCAGTGTTCTAGGACGGGGCGTCATACCCTCCCTCCTCTCCTCCTCCCCCCACCCACCGTCGCCTGAACACGGCGTCAGTGATGAGAACCACTTGGAAGCTCACATAGCAACGACGAATCCGCGCGGGGAGCAGGAGACGCCAGGCCACGCGGCGCACGCAATGGTGGCGTTGTTGTTCTTGGGCCACGCCCCCCACGCCTCGTTCAGCTCCACCAGCACGCTCACTGCGCCGCTCTCGGCGAACGGGAAAAGGGTGGGGGGACAAACGATGCCGCATGAATCGTGGCGGATCAGTAAGTCGATCCAAGGAAAGCAATGACGAGTATATGCTGCGTCAAACCACTCACGCTGACTCTCCTTGAGAAAGGGCGGCCCAACCGCGGCGCCGGCTGCTGCGGTTCTCTCATTTAGCGTTATTAGTGAGCGGCTGCGGCTGGGTCGCACTAGCGGAGACACCACCCGCCGTTTCCGCAGGCTAGAGGCATCGCGATGCGGTGGTGGGTTCTGCTCATCTGAGAAAAAGCGATCCGCAGCCGCACTGAACGTGAACAGAGCGAGGAGAAAAAGGCGAGTGCCAATTGCCAGGCGGAGCCTGCTGCTCGCACGGCAGTGAATGTAACGTGCTACTAGCATCATGAACGAGTGGTACTGTATTGCTGAAGTTGCTCTTGTGTGAATGGAAGGAGAAATTGCAGATGGGGGTTACTAGAGCGTAGTACGTCCCGCCTAACCTCCAGCACCCACAGCCGTCTCTGGGTGACGTCGCTCCGTGCGTGCACTGCATCCTGCCCCGCAAGCGACAGGAACACGACCAGTATGGGTGAGTAGTTGTCACCACCACCACAGCCATGGAGGGAGGGGCCACAATTTCCACCAGCCAAGTGACCCCGACTAGTGGCCGGCAACGCACACCAGCCACAAAAGGGTCACCCAGCGATTCACGATAAAAACGAAGCGGCCGAATATGACCGTCCAAACAATAAGAGCTTGGAAATTTTGACAGCCAGAACTGATGTGTTTTGTCGGTTCGATGTTAGGGCGCGTCCCCCTCGATCGATCGCGAGATCGCCCTGAAAAACCGACCGGGCACCTCGATCGCAGGATTAGGGTGGGATTGGTAGGAGGTGACAATCGCGGATCGATCCCGAGCCCAGGGTGACAGGATCGAAAATACAAGGGGGAAAAACTCTCGATCCTTCAAAATCCGAGATCGGTGTGGCCACGAAGGCACATCGATCGTCATCAGCGGAGGTGACAAGATCGTTGGGCACCAGTTACTGTACATTCGCAAGTTATATCGAAATCAGGTTACCCTGTTAATTGCGACACTGTAGCTGTTCCTCGATCGATCGAGGGTAGGATCGATCGAGGGAGGGGACGCGCCTTTGAGATGCACTTCCACGATACTTAGGGCAATGCTGTTGCTGGAAATCACGTAGGGGTTCCAAACCACAATTATCACAATCGGAAAACGCTATCAGAAATCCGGAGTAACATTAGGGTTCCCTAAACCTCCGCGCCGTCGAGTTCTGCCAGCCTTGCAGAAGGGTGTTTCGCATGTGCTCATCTGGGAGTGGGGAGTTGTTACGAGTGCAATTGAGCGAGCGAGCTAAAATTGCACTATCGAAGCAAAACAGTCTCATGAGCGAAGGAGTGAGCGAACAATATAAAGCGAAGCTAGCGTGGTAACGGTAACGCGAGAACATGGGGTGCGCTACGGGCCTAGCGCCGAGGTTGGGAAATGTGTAGGGAGACGGCTGTGCTTGAAACACCTTGCCCGCGTTATTGTGCGGGTTGCTGGTGTGCCTTGGTCCTTAGGTGCTTCCTTCCTTTAGTTTCTTCCTTTCTACTTTTCCTCTTTCCACCTTTCCTCTTTCCCTTCTCTTCTTCTCTTGCTCTTCACTCCTTATCACCCTTTCCTTGTTCTTTCCCTATTTCCTACCTCTCGTTCTCTTCCTCTAATACCCCTTATCTTCAACTACATGACTTTGTATCAAACTTAATCCACAATATAATGAGTAAACCGTACCGGAAGCATATGGTGGGTTCCAGATGTCTTGCGAGCGACATCTAGCTGTAGGCACAGTCTGGGTGGGAGATAAAGGTTCGTTGAACAGTATTGTACTCGTTTTTGTACATGCAACTATTGCAGAAAGGGTTGTTTCACGTAACATGAATAATGGGATACGTGTGACTTCAGGGGGAATAGAAGAGAAATAGAAAAATGCAGCATGAAGCATCCTTGAAAATGGCCTCTTCTGATCAAACAATCATAAATCAAAGGCAGCCCCGAGAGCTATTTGTCGAGATAACTGTGCAGGAATGATGAACTAGGCAGCAGTTGGATACAAGTAGGAAACCCTAATTGGGTTATCCCCTCTAGAGTGAACCTCACTGTAGCCTACAAGCTAACAACATATTGTCAGAAGTAGGACGTGAGAATGATTGACTAGGTAGGAAGCATGAGTACAAGTACTGCCTAACCCTAAAGAGTTGTACCCTTTAGGGTATGCCCCACTGTCAGAATGAGAGAAGTGTTTGAACTAACAAGATTGGGAGTACAAGTAGGAAAACCTAGAAGTTGTACCCTCTAAGGCTAAACCCACTATAGCCTACAGAACACAAACATATACAATGTTTGACACACCCCCATAGGCGAAGTGGGAGACAACCAGATGGTCACAAGACCAGTCAAAGCAAAGGAAAAACAAAGCAAGCTCAGGGTGGATCTCAAGGATACCACACAAATTCCGAGCACAAGCAAGCGGTCACAAGACCAGTTCACATGCAGTTTGATAATATAACAAGAGGTACAGTGATCACAACCTAGCAAGTGGAAGCATGCAGGTATATATATAGAGATCACAGTACAAGTAGAGTCAAGAAGTAAGCAAGTGAGGCACAGTAGGCACAAGGCCTAGAACAGTACAGAAACGCTCATGATCACAAGGCTGAAGCGCCTTGGTGAACACATCAGCAGTGTTGGCCCGAGTGGCCACGTAAGCAAGACAAAGCTGACCACGCTGCTGCAACTCTCGAGCAAGGAAGTAGCGCAGAGCGATGTGCTTCGTTCTGTGCTCCAGTCTGTGCTCCTGACACAAGGCAATCATGGCCTTGTTGTCGACGTACAGAACTGGAGGAGAACGAGGCGGCTCTCCAAGGTCAGTCAGCAGGTAGGTGAGCCAGCGTAACTCCTGTGCAGCCATGGCCCCTGCGTAGATCTCAGCCTCACAGCTGGAGCTGAGAACAGAAGACGAGCGGGTAGACCGCCAAGAAACAGAGCCGGAGCCAATGCTGAAGGTGTAACCCTGTGACGACCGCTGCGTAGTCAAGTCGTCAGCCCAAGAAGCGTCAGCGTGACCAGTGAGGCCAACTCGAGCCCGTCCTCCAAGCACAAGCCCCATGCCCGACGTACTGCACAAGTAGCGCAACACCCTCTTAGCGGCATCCATGTGCTCCTTCCGGTGACGGCCAGGAGCGACATAGCGTGCTAGGATGCTAAGAGGGTATGCAAGGTCAGGTCGAGTGCAGGTCATCAGGTACATGAGGCAGCCCACAAGCTCTGGGTACGGGCCACTCGGCTCTACGGACTCGTCCGAAGGTGGAGCTGAGAGCGAGTGACCGGTAGGCAGAGGAGTGGACTGAGGCGAGGAGTACGTGAAGCGGAAGCGCTGAAGGACCTGCTGCACCATGTGTGACTGAGTCAAGGTAATGGTGCGCTGTGATCTGTCCCGGGTGATCCGCAAGCCAAGATAGCTTGTCAACTCACCCAGGTTTGTGCACGTGTGTCTCTTCTGCAGCTCCGACTTCACGTGGGCGAGCGCCTCAGTGTCAGCAGTAGCAAAGACCAAGTCGTCTACGTACACGAGAACGTAGAACGGCGGCAGAGTGGTGTCGGTGCGTAGAAACAGCGACGGGTCAGCAGTGGAAGGAGCAAACCCAAGAGCAGCAAGAGTAGTCCTCAGTGTGTCGTGCCACTCACGGGGTGCCTGGCGGAGACCGTAGACTGGCCGCCGGAGGCTCCACTGGGTACCAGGAGGAAACGACCCAGTGAAGCCAGGTGGGCGGCGCAGCCAGATCTCCTCGTGCAGGCTGCCCTGTAGAAAAGCAGTGCTGAAGTCAAGAGAGTGGAGCTCGTAGTCACGCTGAGCAGCGACGTGCAGCAGAACCCGAAGAGTGGTCATCTTCGGGGTAGGGGAGAAGGTCTGGAAGAAGTCAACCCCCTCACGCTGACTGAAGCCTCGTGCAACGTAACGCGCCTTGAAGACAGGCGGAGAACCCGGCGGCCGCTTCACCCTGAAAATCCACATGCCACTGACGATGTTCGCCCCAGGCGGGGGAACCTCATCGACGTAGGTGCCTGTGGACTTCCAGGAAGCCATCTCTGCGTCCATGGCTGACTGCCACTGAGAGGAGTAGGGACCCTCTATCGCCTCTGCGTAAGAGCGCGGGGTCGGGATGTCTGGTGCATCCCGGTCTCCCTCAGGGGCAATCAGCATGGACACGAGATGAGGTAAAGCAGCGGCAAAGCACTCAAACTCCTCCTGTCTGTCCTCAAGGACGTTCGTGCCAAGAGCACACTCACCCCCGACGGACGGAGGACAGACAGACTCAGACTCAGCAACAAGGCTAGCGGCGTAGTCTAGACGACAGGCGGCAGCAAAGTCAACAAGCTCAGCGACTAGAGCAGACGCAGCAGTGGACACAAAGGTAGGGTCAGTGACAACAGTGGCGAGGAAACGCGTGACAGTAGGACTGGCAGCACGAAGGGAGTCAGACTCCGGGTCAGCAAGAGCAGGAAGAGAGGACGCTGGAGGAGACGGCAGAGGGACACGCTGTGGAGCAGTGGAAGGACGCAGAGTCATATAGTGAGTGCCAGGGACAGGAGGAGGACGCTCACACGGAACACGACGACCAGCGCGGGCAGCACGAACAGGCGACTCCGGACGAGACTTAGGCGACGCAGGACGAGACTCAGGCGACGCAGGACGAGACTCAGGCTCACGACGCTCCGTAAGACCTCTAGTCGGCCCAGCGTAAGGAGAAGGACTAGGCAGCGGAGAGGCAGGCTGTAACTGCGACTGCGACTGGACAGGCGGTGGACTCAGTAGGGGAGGAGTAGGACCAGTAGGGGGCGGGAGGCCAAGAACCTGCTGAAGGAGCGGAACGTAGTACGGCCGCGGCCGCGCAGCTCCTCCTGAACCAGCAGAGACAACACCAGCGCCCTCAGCTCCAGGGTCTCCAGCTACAACTCCCGCAGCACCACCAGCAGCTCCAGCAGCTCCAGCACCTCCAGCAGCACCGGCAGCACCTCCAGCAGCTCCAGCACCAGCAGCACCTCCAGCAGCTCCAGCACCAGCAGCACCTCCAGCAGCACCACCAGCAGCTCCCGCACCAGCAGCACCAGCTCCAGGGTCCGCAGCACCAGCAGCGGCTCCAGCTCCAGGGTCCTCAGCACCAGCAGCAGCTCCAGCTCCAGGGTCCAAAGTACCAGCAGTGCCACTCCGGAAACTGCAGCGCCGAGCGTACCACTCTCGGAGCCGCTGAGGAGAGGGCGGCTCCCGCCTAGGCGAGGAACCACGAGCACCAGCTGCAGCAGCACCCCTAGCCCCGGAAGCGCCCCTCCTGAGGCTGCA